ACATTGAGGTCTTTATCTCGAGTTAATTTTTCTACATGGTGGCAGATGGGGTCCAGTTTATTCTTCTGCATATAGCTACCCGGTTTCCCCAGCACCCTTTATTGAATAGGGTGCCTTCTCCATTGTTTATTTTTGTTGACTTTAGCCAAGCTCAGTATGTTGTAGGCACATAGCTTTATTTCTGGTTTCTCTGTTCTGTTTCCTTGGCATCTCTGTATGTTTTTGTACTACTAGATGCTGTTTTATTACCTGCGCCTTGTGGTATAATTTGAAGTCAGACAGTGTGATGCTTCCAGGGTTGTTCTTCTTGCACAGAATTGCTTTAGCTGTTCAGGCTAATTTCTGGTTCCAAATGAATTCAAAAGTTGCTTTTTCTCTAATTCTGTTAAAGAAATGACATTGGTAATTTGATAGGAATTGTGTTGAATCTATAGTGTGCTTTGGGCAATATACTCACTTTAACAATATTGATTCTTCCCATTTGTGAGCAAGGAATGTTTTTCTATTTGGTTGTGTTGCCTACAATTCCTTTCATCAGCGTTTCATCATTCTCTGTGTAGAGGTCTTTCACCTGCTTGGTTAAATATGCTTCTCAGTGTGTGTGTGTGTGTGTGTGTGTTTGTGTTTGTGTGTGTTTGTGTTTATGTGTGTGTGCTTGTGTGTGTGTGTCTGTGTGTGTTTGTGGGTGTGTGTGTGTTTTTGTGTTTGTGTATGTTTGTATATGTTCGTATGTGTGTGTTCGTGTTTGTGTGTGTGTGTTTGTGTGTGTTTCTGTGTGTGTTTGTGTGTGTTTTTGTGTGTGTGTTTGTGTATGTTTGTGTGTGTGTTTGTATGTGTGTTTGTGTGTGTGTGTTTGTGTGTGTGTGTTTTTAGTTTGGTTCTCAGCTTGAATGGTACTGATGTGTAGAAAGGCTACTGATTTTTGTACCTTGATTTTGTATACAGAGACTTTACTGACGTCATTGATCAAGTCTACAAGACTTCTAGAAGAATCTTCAGGATTTTCCAGGTATATGCTCGTGTCATCAGCATACACAGATAATTTCACTTCCTCTTTCCCAATCTGGATGCGCTTCCTTCTGTTGCCCGAGTGCTCTGGTGAGGACTTCTAGATTTGCGTTGAACTGGAGTGGTGAGAGTGGATATCCTTGTCTTGTTCCATTTCTTGGGAAAACCGTTCACTTCTCACCCTTCAATTTGATGTTGGCTGTGTGTTTGTCATGCAGGGCTCCTATTATTTTGGGCTGTGTTTCTTTTATGCCTAGTGTGTTGAGGGATTTTATCATGAAGGAATGTTGAACTCTATTGAATAGTTTATCTGCATCTGTTGAGATGATAAAATGCTTTTTGTTCTTAGTTCAAGTTTATGTCATGAGTCACCTTAGTTGACTTGCATATATTGAACGATCCTTTCATCCTGGGAGGAAGACAACTTGATCATGATGAATTATGTTTTTGATGCACTGTTAGATTCCGTTTGTTGATATTTTCTTGAGGATTTTTCCCTCTGTGTTCTTCAGGTCTCTTGGCCTGTAGTTTTATTCTTCTGTTGAGTCCTTGTCTGACTTTATTATCAGGGTGATACTGGTTTCATAGAATGAGCTAGGAATGAATCCCACTTCCTTGGTTATTTTGGAATAGCTTCAGTGTGATTGCTACCAGCTCTCCTTTGTACATGTGGTGAAGTTTGACAGTGAATCCACCTGTTCCTGGGCTTTTTTGCTGGAAGAAGTTTTAGTAGTGATTCTTTTTCATTGCTTGTTGTTGGTCTGTTGAGGGTTTCTATTTTTTCCTGGGCAATCTTGGGAAGTTGTATGTGTCTAGGAATCCATCCATTTTCTTCTAGGTTTTCTGGTTGATGTGCATCAAGGTGTTCGCGGCCGTCTCTGATGATCTTTTGTGTTTCTGTGGTGTTGGCTGTAACGTCATCTTTCTCATTTCTGATTGTGCTCATTTAAATCTCCTTTTTATTGGTTAGTGTAGTCAGCCGTCTGTCAATATTGTTTATACTTTCAAAAGCCCAACTTTTTATTTCCTTGATTCTTTGCAATATTTACGTCTCAGTCTCATTCTTTTTCTGTCCTTTCGGAGTTTCCTTTTTTTTCAGGGTCTATTGCCAGACAGTGAATGTGATCCTTCGGTGGTGCCACAATATTCAGATTTGTCACACATCAGAATCCTCACACTGATTCCTTCTCATCCGGAGAGGCTGCCACTCATTCTCTTTGGATTTATTTTCACCGGGATGGGGTTCCTTTGCACATTTCCCCCAGCCCCACAGGAAGTGTGACTGTAGAGCATGTTGGGAAGGGTCTTTTGGCTTTTTCCATAGTCTTGGGCGCTTCTGCAGCAGGGTTTGTGTTGGGCTGTGCGGTTCAAATTGCAGGCCAGGAGCTGCTGCTTAAGGGGAAGAGCCAGCCTCTGCACAAGCAGGTGGGTGTGGACCTGTCTGCTTCCTGTGAGGTGCTGTCTGTTGTTTCAGGGGAGGGGCTGGAGTGTGGAGTGTCTGGAGCCCTGAGCTTCCTGTTCTGCGGGGTGAGGAAACACAGCTGGGCAGAGCCGGAACCCCTGGCTTACCCACAAATATCCTAATGATGCAGCAGTCCTGATGGGTGTGGCTGGGGCAGCATGTGGGCAATGCCCTGAGGTCTCTGCTGGGGGAGAAGGGGGGCGGTGATGGACCTACATCCATTTCCATTCCTCAATGGGGAGGAACATTATCTGTTTCCCTATCACACCCCTGCTCCAGGACTCATGAGTCTCTGTTCAGACACACACTGTTGTCTCTCCCCAGGCCACTGTGTGGCTGAGAGTCGTGGGAAACACCTGCCTGCCACTCTCTGCAGGAATCATCCCAAGGTAGAACCTCCTCACTCAGCGCAGCGCAGACCCCTCAGCAGGTGCCCGTGTCTGTCGTGGTCACACTGGTGCTTCATGTAGCTGGGATGTGGGGCTTCTGCCTTTCTGGCTGGACAAGTGGATGTCAGTTGTGGTGTTGCTGGCTGGGGGGACCCGACCTCAGGCCCTGGGGTGAGTGGTCAGGTGCCAGCAGAGTGGGAAAGGGCTGGCAGTTCCCCGGATCACAGGCCAGCTGGACAGTGCGTGAGTCATAAAGGGCGGGACTGGGATTCAGCTGTTCCAGGTTTCAGGTGCCGGCTGTGATGAGGAGGGACGGGCCAGTCCCCAGGTAACTGGCAGAACTCTCAGGTGGGGCAGGCAGAACGCTCAGGTGGTAGAGCCTGGGGGCAGATCACAGGCCTGTGAGGACTGGGCTATCAGAAGGGGGCTGCGGCTGAAATGTTCAGGTGGGGGCTGGGCAGCTGTGCTGTGGACCTGTCCCTGGGGAGGGCAGGACCCCACGGCTGGGGCTCTGGAGACTGGCAGGTGTGGGCGCAGGGCCCACTCGCACTTCCCTCCTGAAGAAGTGGCACTCAGTTTTACTCTGGGGACATGCAAATGTGCCTGGTCTCCCTCCCTGCGCTTGGGGCAGCAGGGGCCGAGGTAGAGGTGGCAGTGAATTCAAAGGGTTTGTCAGGGGCCTCCGAGCATTGGGCTTTCAGAGGGCACCCAGCCAGGGCCACAGTGTTCAGGTGGGGGCAGGACAGGTGCACTGGGGCCCTGAAGCTGGCAAGCCCCATTTAGCAGGAAGGAAGCCCCGTTTAGCAGGAAGGAATCCCCATTTAGCAGGAAGGAAGCCCCATTTAGCAGGAAGGAATCCCCATTTAGCAGGAAGGAAGCCCCGTTTAGCAGGAAGGAAGCCCCGTTTAGCAGGAAGGAAGCCCCGTTTAGCAGGAAGGAAGCCCCATTTAGCAGGAAGGAAGCCCCATTTAGCAGGAAGGAAGCCCCATTTAGCAGGAAGGAAGCCCCGTTTAGCAGGAAGGAAGCCCCATTTAGCTGGAAGCAACAGAAGTGAGGGCGCCATGGGGTGCTCAGCTTGGCTGGTCCTGTGCCCCAGCTGTCATATTTATCCTGGGAGCCCACGGAGGTGCCTGGCCTCCTCCCTCCCTGCTAAGGCAGCGGCAGCTGGACCCAGTCTGCTCAGTGATCAGAAGCCTGTGGGATTCCGTGTAGACTCTGGAGGCACCTCTGCCAAATCTCCAGGAACTCCTTGTGTGCCTCTGTAGGCCAAGGTGGGTCAAGGTGGGTCAATCCTCTTCTGTGAGCAGGATTGTAAAGGGCCAAGACAAGGGTGTGGATCCCAGGGGCCTCACACACACTCACCTCTTCCCTTTGTTAAGGAGCCTCTCACCCACTCACCCCTTCCCAGTGTTAGGGAGCCTCTCACCCACTCACCCCTTCCTCATGTTAGGGAATCTGTCACTCACTCACCACTTCTCCATGTTAGGAACCTCACCTGGCTCTCAGCTTTTCTTCCCTGTGCTTTCCAAGTCCTCACTCTCTGGTGAGCCCCAGTGCGCTCTTAGAAGATCCACTTGGTATTTTGTTATTTACTCACCATTTTGACTTCTCTTAATGAGAGAGGCACATGCCCCCTGTTTCCGTTCAGCCAACTTGAACCTGAACCCCCAGTCATGTTTTCCACCACGGTTGACTTTGGGAAATCCAGTCCCAATGTGCTTCCCATTCATTTCAGAATGATTTTTATTTTCTCCAGTAGTTTTAAAATTACTTTTTATTTATTCTAAACATCCTTCACTCTACTGTAGTGAAGACATTCATTTCATTTATAAATGTGTGCACATTAAGCTTCTGTTTTTTCGTCATTTCTGTAAAAATGTCAACTATTTTCTTTGCAGGTATTTACTGACTCACATACTCCTTATTTCCTTCATTCCGAAAGTGTGACACGTAGAGAGATATCAGTTCACTCTCGTCATTGTATTTCTTGTGTGCATTAATTACCTTTTCTATTTTTTTCATTTCTAAGGTTTCTCTGATGACTTCTGAAAATTTTAATAATATTCTACACCAATACAATATTTATCATTTTAGCTGTGACTTGTTCTTCATGAAATTATTTCTAAATATGCTAATATAATTTACTATTTTTCATCTCACAATATCTCTCCAATTTATTTCTATAATTGCCTGTTTCTTCTCTAATTGATTTTGTGATTTTCATTTCTTTTTTTTTTGAGACAGAGTTTTGCTCTTGTTACCCAGGCTGGAGTGCAATGGTGCGATCTCGGCTCACCGCAACCTCCGCCTCCTGGGTTCAGGCAATTCTCCTGCCTCAGCCTCCTTAGTAGCTGGGATTACAGGCACGCACCACCATGCCCAGCTAATTTTTTGTATTTTTAGTAGAGACGGGGTTTCACCATGTTGACCAGGATGGTCTCGATCTCTTGACTTCGTGATCCACCTGCCTCGGCCTCCCAAAGTGCTGTGATTACAGGCAAAAGCTACCGCGCCCGGCTGGATTCTGTGATTTTCATTCCTCTGGGGTGGTTTTCCTCTCACACACCTGATCTTCCATACAGAGTCTCCTAGGGCTGACTCAGGAATGAAAACAGATGAGGTATTGCTGTAGCCGCTCCAGCCCTGCAGTGTCAGGATCACTCCCAAGCTTAGAATCAGCTTCAGGACCTGCCCGGCACAGTGGGACCTGTGTGAGCCTCACACTCGTGCGAGAGGTGCCCGGTCCAACAATGATAAAGCACTTCTGTGTCATGCGCACGCGGGAAAGGTGGCTCAGAGCTCAGTGTGGCCCGGGTCACTGAGCCGAGCTATCCCAGATTCTGTCCACAAACACAGACGAGGGGGAGCCACGGTCTCCCTAGGGTCCCACGGTTTCCTCCACTTTTTCTTTGTTCCGAGAGACAAAGTGCCACGACTGCTCTGTGGGCTGGACAGATGCATGTTTCACCTGCAGACTTGAACCGAAGCTGAGGTCTCCAACATTCCTAGGTACCGATAAAGCGCCTTAGGTTGTTTCTAGAAAACACTGAAAAATTAACCCTTTTGCCAATGATGTAGAAACAAGCCCTGCCCTGAACCAAACTCCTGAAACTCTCAGGTTAAACTTCATGACCCCAAGTCCCTCACTGCAGACACCCAACAGAAAAGTCACAGATGCAGGATGAGATGATTCATTTTTAAAAAGGGGAAGTTGAGATGGGAACTATTTGGTTGAAAGAAAACCCACAATCCGGTTCCAAGAAAGAAGCCAACTTTCCTTCCCCTGTTTCTCTGCATTTCTGTTCTGTGCCCACGGCCACAGACAGCTCTACCTGGACTACACAGACAGATGTGAGATGCGTCTCTGCTGATCTGAGCCTGCCTGGAGCATGGACCTGCATCTTCCCTGAAGCATGTCCAGGGCTGAAGAGACAACTGCCTAAGTAAGAACCCCACACTGCTGTGCTGATGGACAGGGTGAAGGAGGGAGGGAGACCTCATGGGAGGCTGAGAAGGAACGGGAATCCTTAGCTTACCCTCATCTGGAAGGGCAGATACAGGAAGGCACCAGTTCTATTTGCTGCTGCATCCCGGCTCTCAGTGAGATGAGGACAAAGCAGACAGACAGTGGCTGGGGGTCAGGAAAGACCCCATTACAGTCTGAAATGTCTGCAGAGGGGTTGGACCCACCCCCACCCCCACCTCAAACCTAAAGGAATGAGAGCCAGGCTCCTGGGGAGGGCAGTTCTGCTTCCCGTGTGGCTGCAGATGACACAACCCCATGACAAGAACGACCCAGCCTCTGAGTGTCCACACCCTGTCTCTCTGTCCTGCCAGCACTGAGGGCTCATCCATCCGCAGAGCAGGGCGGTGGGAGGAGACGCCATGACCCTCATCCTCATGGTCCTGATCTGTCTCGGTGAGATTTGAAGAGGGAGGGGAGATTCTAACCTAGGAGGGACCTCACTCCACAGCCAAACTCTGGTCCATGAGGAGAGACCCCAGGGGCTCACAAAGACCCCAGGGAGGGGAGGAGCTGCTCAGGCTTCAGGGGCAAATCTCTCACAGGGAACTCTCTTCCAGGGCTGAGTCTGGGCTCCAGGAACCACGTGGAGGTAGGTGAGTCTGTCCCCAGCTGGCCCAGGTCCTCCTCCTCACTGGGGACAAGGTCCACCCCCGTGCAGCTGCGGAGGGGAATAGCAGTTCTGACTTATGGGGGTCTGGAGGGTCCTGTGGCTGGGAGCTGGAATCTGTTAGGTGGGAAATGACTTAGAATCTGACCTTTGATTTCCTGCCAGAGACCTTCCACAAGCCCACCCTCTGGGCTGAGCCAGGCTCTATGATCACCCAGGAGAGTCCCGTGACCCTCAGATGTCAGGGGAGCCTGGAAACCCAGGAGTACCATCTATATCGAGAAAAAAAAGCAGCATACTGGATTACATGGATCCCACAGGAGCTTGTGAAGAAGGGCCAGTTCCCCATCCAGTCCATTGCTGGGGAACACACAGGGCGGTATCGCTGTCAGTATCACAGACGCACTCGCTGGTCAGAGCCCAGTGACCCCCTGGAGCTGGTGATGACAGGTGAGAGACACGCAGGGGTCCCAGCCCCAGGCTCTGCCCTCAGGAAGGGGCTCTTCACTCAGGGGCATCTCCCTCTCACAGCCCAGCCCTGGTGATGATGTGGGAGGTGTGAGCCCCACTTAACATGGTGCCTCCTTCTCTTCTAGGATATTACAGCAAACCCACCCTCTCAGCCCTGCCCAGCCCTGTGGTGACCCCAGGAGGAAGCGTGACCCTCCAGTGTAGCTCACAGGTGGCATTTGATGGCTTCATTCTGTGTAAGGAAGGAGAAGATGAACACCCACTGTGCCGGAGCTCCCAGCCCCGTACCCGTGGGTCGTCCTGGGCCGTCTTCTCTGTGGGCCCTGTGAGCCCGAGTTGCAGGTGGACGTACAGGTGCTATGGTTATGACTCAAGCTCTCCCTATGTGTGGTCTTCACCCAGTGATCTCCTGGAGCTCCTGGTCCCAGGTGAGAAATTCAAAGCATTGTCTGGAGATCCCTGAGTCTCCGGGCAGATGGGGAGGAGCTGCGTCTCAGGGCAGCTCCAGGTGGGACAGTGTTGGGGTGAGAGGGCTCAGGGTTCCTGGGCCAGAGACACAGGAAGATCAGCAGTGGTGAGGCTGGGGGAGAGGGAGCATTTGTGGGGAGCCTGAGGGTCGGCTCCTGGAGACCATGACCACCTTTCCCAGGTGTTTCTGAGAAGCCATCACTCTCAGTGCAGCCGGGTCCTATTGTGGCCCCTGGGGAGACCCTGACCCTCCAGTGTGGCTCTGATGTCGGCTACGACAGGTTCGCTCTGTACAAGGACTGGGGACCTGACCTCCTCCAGCGCCCTGGCCGGCAGACCCAGGCTGGGCTCTCCCAGGCCAACTTCACCCTGAGCCCTGTGAGGGTCTCCCACAGGGGCCAGTACAGATGCTCCGGTGCCCACAACATCTCCTCCGAGTGGTCAGCCCCCAGTGACCCCCTGGACATCCTGATCTCAGGTGAGGGGCCCAGCGGGTTCAGTCAGGGACCCAGGCTCTGCACAGGCCCTGCTGGGGGAGCCCAAGTGGTGAGGGGTGGATGAGGGGTGGCGGGTCCCAGGGGAGGAAGAGACAGGCAATGGGTGGGAAGGGGGAGACTCAGAAAACAAAGACAGAGACTGAGGGTCCCAGAGAGAGGCCTGGGGAGGTCTCAGCTCAGAACAAGGCGGGGCAGCCCCTCACCGATCCTTGTTCTCTCCAGGACAGATCCCTGACAGTCCCTCCCTCTCAGTGCAGCCGGGCCCCACAGTGGCCTCAGGAGAGGATGTGACCCTGCTGTGTCAGTCACAGGGGTGGATGCACACTTTCCTTCTGACCAAGGAGGGAGCAGCTGATGCCCCCGTGCGTCTAAGATCAAAGTACCAATCTGATAAGTACCAGGCTGAATTCCCCATGAGTCCTGTGACCTCAGCCCACGCGGGGACCTACAGGTGCTACGGCTCACGCAGCTCCAACCTCTACCCGCTGTCTCACCCCAGTGACCCCCTGGAGCTCGTGGTCTCAGGTGAGGGCCCTGACCCGGTCCTCTCTGAGCTCAGGCCCTGCCCCAGGAGATCTCTGGGCTGGGATGGAGGGAGGAGGGTCTGTAGGAGGCTCAGCCAGAGGGGCCTCAGCCCTGAGAGGGAAGGAGGACAATGGGGCCCTCCCAGGCAGACCCACCCTCAACAGCATCACCAGCATCATGAAGAGGAGAGGCGGGTAGGGGAGGGGACTGGAGGGCCACAGGGCCAATGTGGAGAAATTTGGTTTGAGGTGGAGGCTTCAGGCAAGACCCAGCTCCTCCATCTCCTCCCATTCCTTACCCAGGACCCTCCAGTGGACCCAGCCCTCCACCCACCGGTCCCACCCCCACACCTGGTGAGTAACTAAGGCCTCTTGTCTGGGAGGGAGTGCGGCCTCCCCCAGGGCAGTCCCGAGTCTCCCAGAGGATCCGTTTTCCCTCAAGGACTCAGCGCAGGCTTCCTCCAGGAGCTGGGCAGAGACAGAGCGGGGCACAGGCTCCCAGGGGCTCTGAGGCTGGGTTGCTGAGAGGTGGGGGCTGGAGGTAGAGGGAGATGTTGGGTCCCAGCCTGGGGGAGGAGCAGCCAGGCTGATATGGGGAAAAGGACAGCCCCAGCCCTCACCTCTGCGTCCTGACCCAGGAGGCCCTGGGGACCAGCTTGTCACTCCCCCGGATTCAGATCCCCAAAGTGGTGAGTGAGGGTCTCTGGGTGGCAGGTGGCCAGGGTCCAGGGGAGGCAAGGGTGGGTTCTGTCATTGGATTAAGGCTCCTCTGGAGATGGTGATGTGTACAGGCCCCTCCCCCACCTGGGCCTCAGTTTCTCCAAGAGTAAAGGAGAGAGGCCTGTGGGGTGGGAAAGTTCCTTTCAGCTCTGACTCCCAGCTGTGACCTCCTGGGAGAGGAGGCCTCCCAGGGAAGCCTCCAGACCTGATTCCACAGGGGCCTGTCCTGTCCCACCTGCAGCAGTGACAGTGATGCTGACCTGGGGTAGGGGAGGGGAGCAGGGCTATGGTTCAGGAGGCCAGGCTCTTTCCCTGCAGCTCTGGGTCTCAGCTCAGATGCAGGGAACAAGGGCTGCAGGTCAGACTCCCGGGTTTCCTTCCCAGCTCTTCCACTGTCTGGCTGGGGGGCCTGGGGCAGGCGACTCCCCTCTCTCAGCCTCAGTTTTTCATCTGTAAAGTGGGTGGGGTGGATGTGTCAATTCCATGCTGCTCGACTGTAGTGGGGGTTGGAGGTGGTGAATAAGAGGCAGAGCAGTCACCTGCACACAGTAGGTGCTCAATCAGTAACACCACCCCATTCCTGACGTCCTCATGCTCAAGGTCTGGGAAAGCACCTGGGGGTTGTGACTGGGGCCTCAGTGGCCTTCATCCTGCTGCTCTTCCTCCTCCTCCTCCTCCTCATCCTCCGACATCGACATCAGGGCAAACGCTGGACATCAGGTGAGTATAGAAGGGGTGGGCTCAGGGCACTGGCCAGAGGGAATCCAAACCGCTGGGAAAACGCAGCTTTGAGAAACTGTTCTAGCATTTCTCACCAGGCAAATGGAGAAAGCACTTAGTGTCAGTCCCCACATACAAATGTAAAGTGTCCTTCGGGCTCTCTCCACCTTATGAGACATTTGGAGCATGGAAGCAGGAGTGTGTCCAGGTTTCCTTCCTCACCTTCGAGCTGCGTGTGCAGGGCAGGTGTTCCCAGGGCTGAGACTCTGTTCTTCTTCACACAGCCCAGAGAGAGGCTGATTTCCAACGTCCTGCAGGGTCTGTGGAGCCAGAACCCACAGGCAGAGGCCTGCAGAGGAGGTAATTTTGCCTGAAGACCCCAGACGCCCACCCACCCTGGCGCATACACTGCCCCTAAAGCTCCCATGTCCTCTCCTAGGTCCAGCCCAGCTGCCAACACCCAAGAAGAAACCCTCTGTGAGTGAGAGGAAGAGGTGACCCCAGCCAGGAGGGAGATGGGGGCCCACAGTTTCCATAGCAATGGGGAAAGGGCACAGGCTGGAAGGGGTCTGGGGCTTAGGGTGACAGGATCTCACCCCACACTGTGGGACATTGGGACATTACAGCCCCTCCCTGGATCTCAGTGGCCCCATCTGGGAGCTAGGCAGGGGCTGGCGGGGCTGAGAGGTCCCAGGGAACCTTCCCAGGAGACAAACCCCTTGCTCTGCCCAGCAGATGCTGCCGTGAAGGACACACAGCCTGAGGACGAGGTGGAGCTGGACACTCGGGTGAGACCCCGCCCCTGCCCCGGGCATCAAAGGCCTCCTGGTGCCGGATCTAATCCAGCAGGACTTCTCTGTCCTCCTTCCCCGGCTCTCAGCACTGTCCAGGGTGGACCCTCCGTGTCCAGCACGCTGCCTCCCGCCTGCTGTGACCTCACTCTCTCCTGGTGTCCTGGGACCTCGTGGGCCTCCTCCCGGGTCCCCTTCCTGCTCCTCGTCCTCTGTTTGCCTGTCTGGTTGTTAGAGGGCTCCCCAGGCCTCAGGAGGATGAGGAATGAACCACCCCGGCACCCTGGGCTTCCCTTCATTCATTCACCCAGCGAGTGTTCCCAGGAGCTCCCTGTGGATGGGGCTCCCCGTGGGAGCTGCAGACACAGCAGGGAGCAAAGCCGCCCCTGCCCTCCTGAGCTCACCTCGTGGTGGGAGACAAAATGCAAATAAACACAGTGTCCAGGAGTGCGACGTGCTGTAAGGAAAATGAACCAGGGAAAGGGCAGAGAGTGCAGGGCAGTGGGGCCAGTCTGAATGGTAAGGCGAGGGCTGTCTGGTCAGCTGTCATCTGAGAAGCCTGGACGGAGAGGGCCACACCATCCTCTAATGGACGAGCCCCTGCAGGCAGAGGAAACAGCAGTGCAAAGGCCCCGAGGCCACAGTGAGCTCTTGTGGGAAGGCGGGCGTGAGGCTTCAGCCAAATGGGCAAGGTCAGAGTGAGGAGGAGAGGCCAGAACCTCAGGGAGGGAGCAGCCAGACCCTCCACAGCCTTAGGGCGCCCTGAGATTCCATCAGGAAAGGGATGTAAACGGATCACTCTGGGAACAGTGGGGAAAATTTACTCCAGGGGGTCAGGGGGATTCAAGGACACCCCCCACCACTGTCTCTCCAGGACAGCCCACATGATGAAGACCCCCACGCAGTGACCTATGCTAAGGTGAATCACTCCAGACCCAGGAGAGAAATGGCCTCCCCTCTTTCCCCTGTCTGGGGAATTCCTGAGCACAAGGGACACACAAGCAGAAAAGTACAGGTAGGACAGTCAGGCAGGTCCTTTCCTCTCTCTCACCCCCACCACGTTCCTTCCCTCTCATTCTCCCCCTCTGCAGGCTGCTGCATCTGAAGCCCCCCAGGATGTGACCTATGCCCAGCTGCACAGCTTGACCCTTAAACGGGAGGCAACTGAGCCTCCTTCGTCCCAGGCAGGGGAGCCCCCAGCTGAGCACAGCATCTACGCCACTCTGGCCGTCCACTAGTCCAGGGAGGACCCAGTCTCTACACACCATGAAGACTCAGGACCCCAGAAGGCATGGAAGCTGCCCCCAGTCGGCACCATTGAACCCCAGCCAGCCTGAACCCCTAACATAGACCACTGGAAGATTCTAGGAACTTTGGGAGTCACCTGATTCTGCAAAGATAAATAGGATCCCTGTATTATCGAAATAAAGATGCAGACCTCTCAGCTCACAATGAGTTAACTGGTAAAACAAAACAGAAGTCTGAAAATGGTTTTAAATTGATTGATCATGTAAATATTACACATCAAACCAATGACATGGGATAGTAGGAGCTTCTAACGAGGACAAAGGAAAAATAGAGAAAAAGTAATAAAGTGATAAGGTTTATTCTTGAAAACATTAATGATACATGAATCTTGGCCACAATGAAAAAAAAAAAAAGCAGGCACACATTTCCATACAGGAACAAAATAGGAGGCAGCACTACAGACCCTACACACAGCTTTACAAAGGTGAAAGGAAACTGAGCAGTTCTGCACGGACATAACAGAAAATGCAGATGAGATAGATGAATATTCAACACTACAGTTTATTTAATGAACTTAAGGATAAATAGAAAATCTGAATCATCATATGTAAACATATATAAAATGTATGAATCCTGCAATCAAAAATGTTCTCACAAGGTAAATGTCACTTCAGAAAGGTTTGTTGGTGGCTTTTTCTAACTCTTATGCACTCAAGAAACACACACACACACCCCATACCCCAAACTTGCATAAATTTTCCCTGAGAATATTTTGTATATATTTACACAAATAAATTTTATCAGACTAGGAACAAATCAATACCAAAACCTGACAAGGAAACTACAGAATGGAAAAGTCATAGGAGATCTCTCAAAGAAATTTAAATCCCTTAACAAATATTGGCAAGTAACATTCATGTCTCTGTAAAATAGACAATATATCATGACCACACTGGTTTTTATTATTCTTTTATTTTGCTTATGAAAAGCAAGGGTAGCTCAGGGGAGTGATAGCAGGGGTGGGGAGGGTTAACATTAGGAGAAATACCTAATGTAGGTGATGGGGGGGATGGAGGCAGCAAACCACCGTGGCACGTGTATACCTATGTAGCAATCCTGCAAGATCTGCACATGTACCCAGAACTTAAAGTATAATAAAAAAACTCGATCCGTGCAATTCAATATTTTAACAAAATTAACAAAAGTTATCAACTCAATAGACAAAGCTTTTGTCTTAGCACCTTTTCATATACATGCTGACTGTTTGCCTGTCTTCTTCTGAGAGATGCCTGCTAAGCTCCTTTGCCTGTGTTTCAAGTAGTTTTCGGTTTCTTGCTGTTTCGTTGTTTTAGTTCCTCATACATTTGTAAATATTAACCCTTTGTCAGGCATAGAGCGTGAAACTATTTCCTCCCATTTCTGCGTGGTCTCTTTACCCTGTTGTGTGCTGTGCAGAAGCTGTTCAGTTTGAAGCCACACCCTTTGCCTATTTTTGCTTTTGTTGCTTGTGTTTTCAGGGTCATATCCACAAAACCTGCCCCAACCAACTTTCTGAAGCTTTTCTTCCGCCTGTTTTGTATACGGGATAAGATAAGGTTCAATTTCATTCTTCTTCATGTAAATATTCCAGGATGTGACCTGTGCCCAGCTGCACAGCTTGACCCTCAAATAGGAAGCCAGGAAGCCTCCTTCCTGCCGGGAAAGGGAACCTTCAGCTGAGCCGAGCCTGGATGCGGCTCTGACCATCCACCTGCCCAGGGAGGATCCAGACCGCCACACTCCATGGAGACTCACTTCTCGAAGGACCGTTTATTCAGAATGACTGCCCCCTCTCTATTATACGTCCTTGGAACCTTTATTGAGAATCAACTCATCATAAACGTGTGTGTTTCATTCTTTGTTTTCATCCCTGTTGCACTGATCACTGTACCCGTTTCTATGCCAGTTCCGTGCTGCCTTGATTGTTGTAGCTTTGTAAGATATTTGGGGATTCCACAGTGTGATGCCTCCTTTTCCCCTTTGCTCCAGATTGTTTTGGCTATTTGGGGCCCTTTTGTAGTCCCATTCAAATTTTAGGATTTTTTTCTACTTCTGTGGAAAATGACGTTGGAATTTTGACAGGGATTGCATTGAGTCTGCAGGTATAAACATTTTTTTATGTTCCAGGGCACATGTGCAGGACGTGCGGGTTTGTTACATAGGTAGGCATGATGGTAGTTTGCTGCACCTATCAACCCGTCACCTAGGTATTAAGCCCAGCATGCATTAGCTGTTTTTCCTAATGCTCTCCCTCCCTTCATTCCCCACTCTTCCCCCACAGGCCCCAGTGTGTGTTGTTCCCCTCCCTGTGTCCATGTATTCTCCTTGTAATATAAACATTTTAACAATATTAATTCTTGCAGACCACGAACATAAGCTACCTTCTGATTTATATTTAATCAAAAGGTCTTCTTCAGTTTAATTCATCAATATTGGGAAGTTTTCCATGCAGACATATCCAACCTCCTCGGTTAAATTTAATTCTAAATTTTTTTTAGCTATTATAAGTGGAATTTTTCTTTTGATTTCTTTCTGGATAGTTTGTTTTTAATGTATACAGATGTTACCAATTTTCGCGTGTTGATTTTGTATCCTGCAACTCTACTTAATTCACGGATTAGTTCTAAAAGTTGTTTGGTTGAGTCTTTAGGGATTTTTGTACATAAAGTCATGTCAGCAAGCAGAGACAATATCGCTCTTTATCTGATGTGAGTGGTTTTGTGTATTTTATTGCTTAACTGCTCTGTGTAGGACTTCTGTTATTATGCTGAGCAGAAGGGGTGAGAGTAAGACAGACCTGTTTTCCGGGACTGTAAACAAAATTGCCAATTGCAGCGGGAAGTGACTCATCAAATGTCTCTCTCTATGGTTTCTCTGGCGAGAACATGATATTTCTAAGCCAAAGGTGGTACCTAGTAGAAATGGAAATCCTCTTCATAAGACACGTTGTTGGTCCTTTGCCATACACCGAAGTCTCCTTTCACACCACTGAAAAACAGCCTCTAAGTTACTTCTGTAAATGGGAGAGCTCTGCTTTCAACAGTTAGGATTAAAATGTATTCTGCAGCTAAATTTTAGTCCCAATGTTTTCCCATCTGTAGAAAAACAGCCGTTCAATTTCTGCATTCTTTTAAGACACGTATTCTGTCTTCGATTAAGACAGTTCTTTTTTTTTTTTTTTTTTTTTTTGAGACGGAGTTTCGCTCTTGTTACCCAGGCTGGAGTGCAATGGCACAATCTCAGGTCACCGCAACCTCTGCCTTCTGGGTTCAGGATATTCTCCTGCCTCAGCCTCCTGAGTAGTTGGGATTACAGGCACGCGCCACCATGCCCAGCTAATTTTTGTATTTTTAGTAGAGACGGGGTTTCACCTCGTTGACCAGGATGGTCTCGATCTCTTGACCTCGTGATCCACCTGCCTCGGCCTCTCAAAGTGGTGGGATTATAGGCGTGAGCCACTGCGCCCGGCCAAGACAGTTCTTAATTACTAATGGATTTTTTAGTTCGAAAGTTAACCAAAACAATTTTTCTAAGGGTAAATTCTTTAGCAAGGGCCATAATAACAGGCAATCTAGCTCACTGCCTTTGTTAAAGGAGTCTTGACGAAAGGCAACACCGTCTCTCCAGAAATTCACTTTCCAGGAAGCCAGACAAATCAGACAGGTTCAGAAAGCCAGAATAAAATCACACGAGGCAAATAAGCTACGGTTGCATGAGTGAGAGTGGTCAGTCCCATCGCTTAGCCCACCTGGCTCCACAGCTTGCAGAACCGTGCCTTCAACCACGGGTGGCACATTTAACATAGTGCCAGGATCCAGGAACCAGGAAGGCGAAACAGTCAGAGGACACTCCCTGTCTCCTCCTCCACTCTGGGTCATATGGAAAGGAAGGAAACTAAAAGATTGCTTTTATTCTCACTTCTTTTTTTTTTTTAGATGATTGTTACCATTTTTAAAAAACTGTATTTGGGCTCTAGGGTACATGTGCACGTCCTGCCTGCAGTATTTTGCATAAGTCCGTACATGCCATGGTGGTTTGCTGTTTCCATCCCCTCCCCACTGTTGCCTACATCAGGCATTTCTCCGGGTGTTATTCCTCCCCCTCCTCCCCGCCCCCCCCATTGTTCTCCTCCCACCCCCTACACCTACCTCTGTGAGTGTTGTTCCCTTCCCTGTGCCCAAGTGTTCTCATTGTTCAACACCCGCCTATGAGTGAAAACATGCGGTGTTTGGTTTTCTGATCTTGTGTCAGTTTGCTGAGAATGATGATTTCTAGGTTCATCCATGTCTCTACAAAGGACACGAACTCATCGTTTTTTATGGCTGCAGAGTATTCCATGGAGTATATGTGCCACATTTTTTTTTGGTCCAGTCTATCACTGATGGGCATTTGGGTTGGTTCCAGGTCTTTGCTATTGTGAACAGTGCTGCAGTGAACATTCGTGTGCATGTGTCTTTTATGACTGAATGATTTATAATCCCGTGGGTATGTACCCAGTAATGGGATTTCAGGGTCAAAGGAATTTCTATTTCTAGATCCTTGAGGAATCACCACACTGTCTTCCACAATGGTTGAACTAATTTGCATTCCCACCAGCAGTGTAAAAGTGTTCCTATTTCTCCACATCCTCTCCAGCTTCTGTTGTCTCCAGATTTTTTAATGATCACCATTCTAACTGGCGTGAGATGGTTTCTCAATGTGGTTCTGATTTGCATTTCTCTAATGACCAGTGATGATGAGCATTTTTTCATGTTTGTTGGCCTCATGTGTGTCTTCTTTTGAAAAGCGTCTGTTCATATCCTTTGCCCACTTTTGAATGGGTTTGTTTGTTTTTTTCCTGTAAATCTGCTTTTGTTCTTTGTAGATTCTGGATATTAGCCCTTTGTCAGATGGGTACAAAAATTTTTTTCCATTCTGTTGGTTGCCGGTCCACTCTAATGATTGTTTCTTTTGCTGTGCAGAAGCTCTGGAGTTTAATTTGGTCCCATTTTGTCTATTTTGTCTTTTGTTGCCAATGCTTTTGGTGTTTTAGTCATGAAGTCCTTGTCTGTGCCTATATCCTGAATGATTTTGCCTAGGTTTTCTTCTAGGGTTTTTATGTTGTTAGTTCTTATGTTTAAATCTTTAATCCATCTGGAGTTAGTTTTTGAATAAGGTGTAAGGAAGGGGTCCAGTTTCAGCTTCCTGCATATGGCTAGCCAGTTTTCCCAATACCATTTATTAAACAGGGATTCCTTTCCCCATTGCTTGTTTTTGTCAGGTTTGTCAAAGATCAGATGGTTGTAGATGTGTGGTGTTGCTTCCAAGGCCTCTGTTCTGTTCCATTGGTCTATATCTGTGTTTTGGTACCAGTACCATGCTGTTTTGATTACTGTGGCCTTGTAGTATAGCTTGAAGTCAGGTAGCATGATGCCTCCAGCTTTGTTCTTTCTGCTTAGAATTGGCTTGGCTATGTGGGCTCTCTTTTGGTTCCATATGAAGTTTAAAGGGATAGCATTGAATCTGTAAATCACTTTGGACAGTATGGCCATTTTCACAATATTGATTCTTCCGAACCATGAGCATGGAATGTTTCTCCATCTGTTTGTGTCCTCCCCTATTTCCTTGAGCAGTGGTTTGTAGTTCTCCTTGAAGAGGTCC